AGTAGTGAGGTTGGCCCAGGATAGGGCAGTGTTTCTTTCTGCTGTGCATAAGGTTGCTATTGGTCGGTACCAACTTGATGGCACCTAACAACAACAATTGAAGGTCTGTTCCACAGCCTTGTTTTGACTGATGATATAGAGCTTTTCCATCTTCTCTTTCTGCAGATGTAGTCAATATTCTCTTAGAAGAATTAAAAAAAATAAATAAATACTGCAATCTAGAATTTCACTTCTACATACTGAACTAGAGAAATCAAAGTTTAAGTTCATAAGGCTTTATCTTCAAAAATGTTTATTATAGTATACTTTATGAAGCCAAGATCCAGGTAATGGAAGTAAATCTATATTGTAATCCAAAATCTGTACTAGTTACTTATTGATTACCAGTTTCCACAAACTTAAAAACACAATTATTATCTCACATATACAAACAGTACCTGGATTATGAATGAGCTCCATTCCTAAATCTATCTTTAAGTCAAATTTGCACTTAATCAGAATAGTTAGGTATAGTTCATATCTAATATAAATTAGTCAAATACTTGTCATAGTATATAGAATATAGTCTACCTTTCTTACAATAGTATTTTCTCACAATGCTTTTGGTTAATTAGTTAGTTAATTATAGATAATGTATACATAGAAATCATAGTGCCTGGTACTAATGCTGTTGTTAATTGTAGTCGAGTTGGTTCTGACTCAAAGTGATCCTGTATAGGGCTTCTGAGAAACAGCTGGTGGGTTTGAACTGCCAACATTGTGGTAAGCAGTTCAGTGCTTATACTATAGCCCCACACCAGGCCTCCCCTAGTACTAATAAACTTCAATAAATATCAATATTATTGAGTATTAATAAGGATTATTTCAACATGTAAGACAGTATAAAAAACATCCTCATTTCTCTTTCTCTCTCTCTCCCATGCACACACACACACACATACACACACAGTCCTTGTGTGGTGCTGTAGGATCAACACTGGACTCCTAACCTTAAGGCTGATGTTTCAAACCCAAATGTGGCTCCTTGGAAACCCTACACAGGGTCTCTATGAGTCAGAAGTGACTCAATGGCACATAACAACAACATTCTAAAGTTTGCAATATAAAAAATGTTCCCCTCTTGGGAATGCCTCTCCTCTTCAATAGAAAAATAACTAATAAAGGTTATATTCTTTGATCCTATCTTAGCACCTGGAATACAGATGTTCAGGTGAACAGGTACTGAGCCCATAGGCTTCAGCTCTGAGATCTCTTTGTTTTTGATCTAAAGAGAACTCATTTGGTGAGCAGCCAGCCTCCACCAATCATAGAAGAATATACAAATACAAATCCCCAAATAAAATAAATCTCATATTTTCAACTCTTTTATGTATCATTCTAGAATATGAGGGCAATGGAAGAATGCATAGGGTTGGAGCCACTATGCCAGTGTGATCGATGCCAAAGTTTGAGTCGAATCATCTCATCTTCAGAAAAATATATGGAATAAAAATAAATGGAGATGGGAAATGATTAATAGTATTTAAAAATTGAAAAATGGCCCTGAAAATGGAGTGGACATGTTTTACATAATGCTCCCAACTGAACATAAATAACCCTGTTGATTATAAACAATCATTAGACAAGGCCACTCTACAGTTAAGATGGAACAAGCCAGAGAAAAAGCCACTTCTGCGATTATGTCTGTAGCAAGACAGTGACAAGACTAAAATAGTTTAATATTCCCCTCTTACAATAATGTGAATGAAAATTTCTTTATCATTTTAATCTCCCACCTTTTAGCCATAAATTATTAAGATACATAATAATGGAATTGATCCTGCCTCTGTTAACACTCAACAAGATCTGGCCTCTACTTTCTAAATCCCTGCTAGAATTACTCAGTGTGGTCACTTTTAAAAGTTTCTCCGTGTCTATCAGAGCACATGAGGACAGTGATCTGAAATAGACATATATCCCGGCTGTCATCCATAGGATGTTCTCAGAACCGAGAAAAGACTTCCCTACTTGTGACTCCCACCTAACAACTGGTACCATTTTTATAGGAATATGGCATAATAGAATAAGCACTGCACTGTTAACTGAAAGTTCAGCCGTTCAAACCCACCAGTCGCTCCTTGTAAACCCTATACAGGGTGGCTATGACTCAGCAGCACTTAACAACAATTTTTGTGTGGCCTTAAAGCCTGATTTTAAAAATATCAAAAGAATATGAAAATGACTGCCGTGATTTGTAGCATTGTGTCTCTCATATTGTACTCTCAACCTAAGTCCAACAAAGTGACAGAAGTGCTTATCATAACAAAAAATTACATACAGATTGGTACTCAGTTTCTAATATTTGTTGTTGTTAGGTGCCATTGAGTCAGTACCGACTCATAGTGACCCTATGTACAACAGAAATGAAACACTGCCCGCTCCTGGGCCAACCTCACAATGATTGCTACATTTGAGCCCATTGATGCTGCCACTTTGCCAATCCATCTAACTGGGAGTCTTCCTATTT